CCGAGGGGGGTTCCAACGGTGATGGAAACATGATTAAAGGTTTAAACTGAATCTGAATTTGAAAGTATACTCAATATTGGATCGAATAAAATGCTACTGAAGCCAGCCCAAGTGTGAATAACTCATAAGTATGCACATTTGCAAACAATTTGCTGAAGCTGAGTGGAAAATGAGTCAATCAAAGAGGACTGGTACACAAGCAGACCAACTAAATCACGATACAAACGTGCTGTCCGCAGTTTGGGGCCCCAGTCTTGTTTCCAAGTCTTCTATACAGACTTTTTTTCGTTCATGACAGAATACTCCCACATAGTGCGATTATTGGTGTCTTCATGGACATTGGGTTACATTCATATCCTACTGCTCTTTTTGTTATTGTCACAATCCTGTAAATGTAACCATAAGCTCTGAAACTCAGCAGGCTTTACTGTCAGTTATGTGTGCTCAGTGATCCAATCACAAACGACAAAGTGTGTGAGGATGCAGAAAGATTATACAAAGCTTCTGTATTTTTCCCACAATCTTCAAGTCTTATATTTTTCTTCCTGCTGCAGCAGGTGGTATGTAAAGGAAACCTTTCTGATGCAGAAGGTGGCCAATCAATCAGCTGCCTTTCAATCAGATGTGGAGATTAGTTCCACTTGGTTAATTTGCAATTTCTTATAAGACATAATTAAACCTGATATTATATTGCATTTGAGATAATGGCACACAAAAGAAAAGAAACTGTAAGCAAATTCCTGCTATGAAATTAGTATTTCTTGCACTGGACAAAAAATATGAAAAAGATTGTCTAGGCAACAAACATGAAAGAAACTAAATTATCTTCTGTTGTGATGAGTATTTTGTGATACCAATCTTAACGTAATATCTAATCACAGCAACTGAACATCAGATCGTCAGGAGGACGGCTCCTTTATTCCATTTTCACTGTATAATCCTGGAAAGCGTGTGAGACCTTTTGGATGTGTAGAACAACACAGAACATGAATTGACATTAGATCCTGACCGATTCTGTCGGCATGTTAGATCCTGTTATGCTGCTGTGCCTTGTGCATAAATGAGCACAGACAACAACAACCATTATTGTTGTTAGCAACATCAACCTAGTCTATTTTAGCAGCACCAGTTAATAAACAACGCAGTATTTCAGATATATCAGGATTGTGGCAACATGCCTATAGGCAACGAAATTGGACACAAAAAATACAAAGTTTAAAAAAACAGCTTTTTCTACAGTCGATGCTGTTTGCAGCCATCTTACTTTCTGAACTCTTGGTCATCTGATTTTGACCGCGTTACTAAGAACTCGAAAAGTAACGTGGAAAACATGTTCTAGGTACAAATGGAACTCACTATGAATACACCGCTCTCAGCCCCACTGTCCAACACAACACAAATGGGTCATTCAATCAAGCTAGAACTGGAGGTTGTTCTGTATGTCTCGCAGAAAGTGCTTTTACGGTTATGAAGGAAAGTAAGGAAATTTGTGTTTGGTAGATTATTTCTTTGTGTAACAATGCTTCTTGGCAAAAAGCCTGATTATTTCCTTTTTATATGGTGCCATATATGTAAGATATGAGCAGCAGAGGTAAGTACATGGGTTGCGCCCATGGAAAACTTTCCAGATCTTCTCTGACAATGCCAAACAGCTTTAACTTTTGACTCTTGTTTTGAGCTTCTGGTACCCCCAGGTTCTGAAATCAGGTGCCTGATTGTCAGAACCCGTGAGCATGGGCCCTGCTACAGTTGTCAGTTGGTGTCTGCTCCAAGAATCGGCCACGTTTGATCTGGATAGGGCCCGTGCGATAGTCAAGTTACATATAACAGGGGATGTCAGAGACAGGCTGCGAAGTGGGTGTCCCAAGAAGACCCATTCCTCATCCCGTCAGCAGTCAAGTGTTTGTAGGATGATATGGTGATGGCTCTCTGCTCAAACAATCCGTTGTCATAGGGCTGCCAGCATTCTTGACCTCAACCCCACTGATCAGCTTGCGCGTGCTGTTCGTGCCAGAGTAACCAACACAACCACGTTGGCTGACTTGAGTCAAATGCTGGTTGAAGAATGGGATGCCATCCCACAGCAGTGTGAGCAGCATGAGAAGGTGCTAGGCTATATGGTTCTTTCGCACGCTACTAAATGAATAAATTGTTAAATCGTCAATATGTCTTGTTTCTTCAGACTTCAATCATCCAAGCCACCAAACAACACCAAACAAGTCCATCAGGAAGCTTAGTAAACCACAGAAAGTTGAGGCAGAACAGCTGGAGATCAGATGGAAATCAGTGAATAAAGTTCTATGTGTTTTTCTACAGATACCCAGAACTATATTCCACACTGCAATTCAGCAGCCAGCTTGTTCCTGCCCTTTCAGAAGATGGCCAATCAGAATACAGTGGGCTTTTAGGAAGGGGGAGTGCTCAGACAGAGGGTGAACAGAGGTGCTGAAGCAATGGACAGTAAAAGTAGGAACCTCTGGGTCTGAAAACTGAAGCCAACAAGTAAGAGATTTAAGTGATTTAAACCTGTATTATTTCTAATGGCCAGTAGGGGGCGACTCCACTGACTGCAAAAAGACAACTCTCTTCATCCTGGAGAGACTGTTCAGGAGGCAGAACCCCCACAAAGCAGCTGGGCCAAACTTTGTCTCTCCATCCACCCTGAAGCACTGTGCTGATCAGCTGTCTCCGGTGTTCACAGATATCTTTAACACCTCACTGGAGTCAACGTGCCAGCCTCCATCAAATCCACCATCATCCCTGTCCCAAAAGAAGCAAAGGTCAAGCAAAGGACCTTTGTTGTCTTGACCTCTGTGGTAAGTCATTTGAGCAACTTGGGTTTTCCCATCTCAAATCCATCACAGACCCACTGCACAGATCCATAGAAAACATGGCCCTTCACTTTATCCCCCAGCACCTGGACTCCTCAGGAACACCATCATCCTGGCTCTGCTGCAGGACACGCTCTCCCAGCTGAGCGTGCCTGAGCTGCAGGTGAATCAGAGACTTCCTGATGGACAGGAAGCAGCACCATCAGCATCGGTTCCCCGCAAGGCTGCGTTCATCCTGTACGCCTCCAGCTGTTTGCTGTGCTGTTCAGAATAGACAACTTGCCGTCCTATAATCGGAGTCTGAAAAGAATGGATTAGCAGACGCAGGTAGCAGGGATTGTCTGAGCTACAGAGAGAGCTGGAGGTGAGTAAAAAGTGTTTAGCTGCCTGCTCTCATTGGCTGAATGTGCATGTCGAGTCGGCCGACGGCGTCAGCGATGCATCAGGCAGCCGTCATCAAGCTCCTGAAGTTTGCGGACGACACCACCCTCATTGGGGTCATCTCTGGTGGGGATGAGTCCCCCTACAGGTGGGAGATTAGCCATCTGGTGACCTGGTGCAGCCAGAGCTACCTAGAGCACAACACCCTTAAGACAATGGAGATAAACTGCTTCAGACACTCCCCTCTGGCAGGAGGCTGTGGCCCGGGGCCACCACTGACACCACCCTAACCTCACCCTTTACAGTACAGTATATATACACTGTACATTATTGCACATCCAATATAAATATTTTGGACATCCCTGCACTTACTTTCATTAGACAACAGCCATTTGTACATATCCTTATTATTCTAATATATTTTCATATCTTATTATCAGTTTTATATTGTATATTCTTGCAGTATTTCTGTGATGGCTATCTTAATGAACGTCTTAAAGCCTGCATTGATCAAGGCATAAAACAAAAATAATCATCAAATATTTATTATCAAGTCACACTCAGAAGGCAAATGCATTTTAACTCTTTGGATTATCCAAAGTGTTTGTGGATGCTACTGGCACTGACTCCTCCTCACATTTAATTTGTTATGACATGAATGAATGCATGATAAAAGCTCCTTAAATCAAACACATACCAGAAGTGGGGATTATTTCTGAAATGCAATGATCAGAGGAAAGGAAATCAAAAGCAGGCAAGGGGAAAATCCCTCTCACCTCACCAGCAAACTTCACCTTGAGCACATCACATTAATGGTCTGACGTAGAAAGAGCTGCTGCCTCCAATGTCATCTCATTAACGCTGTCTCCATTAGTTTGCAAAAATGTTTTTTAGTCTACATTGGTAAGCACACCACTAATCAAAGACAGCACTGTCAAGAGGGTGATGGATTAATGTCATTGTTTAAACCCTTTTACCAAAACAGAAACACTAGCTGCAATAGTGGCCAAAATGGGATTCTATGAACCAAGACGTATGACCAGCAACCGACTCACTTTGGTAAGCATATTTACACTGGTTTCATTAAGACTCATATCACGAATAAAATGCATCTCATTTAGCTAAACACTAACATGGGATGTTTTATTATTATAATAGTAGCAACAACTGGATACAGCAAAGGACTGCACCATTTGGAGAAAAGGACATATTGCGATTATTGTGAACAATATTGCGATTGCGATATGATGATATAAATAATACTTACACTAATAATAATACTACTTGCTTGATTCTCAAGGAAAATGCACAAAATATTGACATTTTGAAATGTGTATCTCTGAACTAGAACAAAATTAAATTAACATAAGAAATACAGGGGTTTTATTGCCACCAGTCCAAAAATACTGATTTGGCCACATTGTAAACAGCAACTAGTATAAATGAATAGTATGATGTTATAACATTAATAAAATGTATAATGTTGAGTTAACAGTATACTGTTAGTGTTAATATACCAATTACTATAGTTATTATAATTAATAAGAGCAGAGAGGCAAAATATAAGTATATGATTTCATTTAAAAAATGCAATTCTGACTGAACTGCAGTTATTTCAGGTGGTGAACAAAACAGTGAGCTTGTATTTATAGTCACAGTAAAAGGGAGGTTAGAGTTTCTACACCTCAGGCAGGTGTGACATTTTTTAACTAGAGAAGGCAGTGAAATGTTGCTTTTGGTATCAAGTCACTGTTTAAAGTTTGCATGAGAATGCTTTCACCATCTTACCTGCATATTCGGGGTCCACATGAGGAGGGTAGAAGCGAAAGTTGATGAAGAAGGGGATGGGCATTCCATACTTGAACCACTCCACCACATAGGGCTGGCCGTTCAGAGGGTGGGACACGTCGCATCCCAGGATGACGTTCTCTCCTGCACGTGCCGTCACAAACTGGGGCTCTTCTCGCACTCCGTGGGCACCTGGGGTAACAGAGTTCACAGGTTAGCCAGGTCAACAGTCCAGGGTGATCTGCAGCTTGTGGCTCAAAGTCCATTTAAAGACTACACACTTGAGCTCCAGATTAGAGTATAAAGCAGAATAATGCTTCAATCTTTTATTTCAGTATGGAGTCAGATGAGAAGATCGACACATATTTCATGTCTCTGCACCTTAATATGAAGATAGAGCCAGCAGCTGATTGGCTAAGCATAAAACAAAGACTGGATAGAGGGTGAAAGCTAGCTGACAATTTGCTGTTTACTGGGTTATGTGCTGGACTATTTCTTGGTTCGGAGAAGTTGCCAGGCAATAAATAATCTGGCACACAACGCCCCACAAAACAGCAAATACAGCTTTTGCACTAGTTTGGTTTTTTCCACTAGTTTAACAGAGATGTTGGAAATTACAGATAAGTCTTTAGAAAGTAACAGAGTTTCACATAGAAAATGAGTGTTCGTGTGCGATAACACAAACACGTGCTAACCAACAACTTCTGTCACTCAGGATGGCAAAGACTGCCAGTGACAAATCCAATACAGAGCCAAGGCCAATGGGTTGGGAAAATCAAGATTAACAGCGCTTGCAGGCACATGAATGTGATTTATCTCGACAGAATCTTTTTCATCTAATTCATCTGACAGAATGTGGGCAGGTGAAAACATCAAAGAGGCAATGTGACAGTAATGCGCTTTATGTTCAATAATACCTTTTACAAAACTAACTCACTCTGTTAGCTCAGTGATGGAGCAATGCCAGTGAAACTGTGTGTCTGTGGGCTAGCTGCTGGATGGCTACATTGATCCCAGGCTAATTACCATGTAGCTTGGCTTTATGAGCGGAAACTCAGTGTGGCAGCATTTTACCAGTCGATAAGGCTAATCAGATATACTCACTGCTCGTCCCTTTGTGGCTTGTAAGGAAGCCAGGCAGGCAGCTAGCTTCTTCTGCACAGAGGTGATAGCCTACTGCCTGCATTGCCTCTCATTAGTGAAAGCAAACAGTGTAAGGCGTTGTGTGCATAAGGAACAAACAGGACTTCATCTAGCCTATTACATCTGCAAATAACTATGGCAAGGACAAATCACTAGTCTTGGTATATTATGTAGCAAAGCATACCGTAAATGCAAGCTAGTAAAAACATTTTCTGGAGTCACTGATAACCCGCAACATCAAAAATAATGGACTGAAAGATCAAAAAAAATTGTTCCTACAAAAAAGTGAAGATGTTTCCAAAGCACTGACCTAGACAGAAGGAAACATTTAGAAAGATGATTTAACATTGTCTTCCAAATGTTTCAAAGTGGCTAACACTGGGAGACAAAGGCAGACAGAATTTTAAAAGTCAAACATGGACAGAAAAACCCAAGAGATTATCACTTATCAGTGTCTTCTTTCTACAGCACAACGCGGACACCTGACAAAGTGAAAATACCTCCATAACCTCACGTGGAGCCAGTGAACTCCTGGACACATTTTTCATTTAAATTACAGCACAAGCCTACGCTTTGTGTAAAATTATACAGAGTGTCTGGTAGCTGGCTAACTAGAGAAAAGTTCCTACTCAAATTCAAGCATCAAATATAGAATTCAACCATGTATATAATAATCTGATGTTTACAAATAGTGTAATTTTTTATGTTGAGGAAAAAAATGGGAAGATGCAGTAACACATGTTCTAGAAGTGCTTGGACAAACATTAGGAGGAAAATGAGCACCAGAACCATTGAAAGCAGAATGTGACAGTAAGGCAGTAATGTCTTGGGCTAGAAAAAGGTCAGGAAACAGCTGGCTAAAAGCACAAATACTCAAAGGATGATTTTCTGCTGAACTTCAATCACAACACTCCATTTTGCAATTACCAGAATGTGCTTGTCGTGGAACAGAACAAACAAATGACATTGCCGTAATAATTGAATATCCATTCAAGGCAGTGTTAACCCAAATCATCCATCCTGACTTGACAGACGGAGCTTTTAAATGCGCGTTAAGGCTGCAGAAGGAAAGCATGCCTCCACAGTCACCTTGAACTGAGGTCAAAATGAAAAAGCAACTAATTGTCTAGGTTTTGCACTTAACAGAAGATATTTATCTCACAATCAGGCCTAATTGGGGGGGCTGGTTCCCCAAACCCAAGGCTGAGAGGTACAGCACACATTAACCATTTCAACAGGACACAGCGGGGGTCTTGTAAGATACAATGACAAATATGGAATATCGCAGAATGCATCATTACCATCGTAGGCCTATAATTTCACAAAGTATATAGCACATTTATAAACAATACATAGTGTATATTACATCACTGAGAGGCTGTGTGCATCACAAGAAGCCTGTGGATTTGTGATTTGATGTGCATGTGTGCTCTCATGCTCTCCAGCAGAAGCAGATAATAACTGAGCAAGTGTGCTTTTCCCAGTGGTGACCCCCCCCCTCCCCTCCCCTTCACACACACACATATGCACACACACTACCTCAAGCGGCGCTACGTGTTGATTGGCTGCTGGTGACATCATGGCAGACAGCACAAAAACAGGCCCACTGGAAGGTATGACTTCACTGTTTGTAACTGATGAGAGAGAGGGAGCGAGAGAGCAGAAGCAGAACTTATACGCTCATCCGCTCCCCCACCCATCAGGGTTTAGCTCATTTACAATCAAAGACCCAGGGGAGGGTACCATCGCACGGTATAACCACTGAGGTGCACCCACACATACACACACACAGTACCAAGAGTATATGCAAGGTGGAAGAGGAAGGGAGTTTATGTTTGTTGTGCAATTGTGATTGTTGCCAGGAGTGCTGTAACACTTAAGTCATGCTAGTTTGCAGCCATCATCAGATTAAAAATATACTGTCAAACCAGGGGTGGCGCCACCATTGAGCAAAATTTATTTTCCAACCTAAAAGATCTTGGTGTCACAGAAATCAACAAGATGATTAAAAGAGATGCATTTAAACTTCACAAACAAATACCATGGAAATGTGGGGGGGAAATGACATGTATGTTTGTTGAAGATATTAACCACACATTAACTTTTCAACCTCCGCCAAGCTTTTTGCAATATTTAAAAAAATTTTCCCCGCACACAGGTTTTACAAAGCTCAAACTGAAACTGTGCATAAATTAAAAACACACTTAAAAAGAGGCCATGACACAGTGGGCAGTTGTGCCAGTGTGTGTGCAGTGTTACTATATACCATGGTCAAAATAATGACTGACAACATGGCAAAAAATATCAACTACCATCACTAGCTGGACTACCATCGGTGTTAGAGGGCCATGAGCACAGCACTGTTCCTATCTTGATTTTGCAGTTTTGCTTTGCTTTGCCATAAATGAGCAGCTTTCTACTGGTCAAACTGAGGCGGAGCAGCTACAGCAGGACCAGAGAACCAGGCTCCTTGTCTGAGGGCCCATCTACACTACTCAGCTTTTGTTTAAAAACGGAGTTTTAAAAAAAATACGATCTCCGTCCACAACAGCATTTTAGCTGCGAATCAGATTTGATCTCCATCTATATTAAAATGAAAAAAGTAGCCGTTCACGTACACTTGGCATGCGCGAGCCGGTGTAAACATGAAGCAGATGGTTGATTCCGTAGTTACAGAAGATTTGGTAAAAGAATAAAGTAATGCAGACGAACAATCACATCAGATTTCTTTTTGGACCAATAACGAGCTTGTACTCTTACTGAATGTAATGGAAGTTAAAAGCAGCTGTAGCAGTGGAAAACAGACTGCGAGTCGTCGCAAAGTAAATACGGTGACATGCACAGTACAAGTGAGTTTGCACGGTACAAGATATTTTAAGAAAAATACCAAATCAAAAACTCTGTCAATAGCCAGTGACCCACTCACAGCGCCAAACGTGAGCGTCTTCGTCATCGTTTCTAAAGTCCTCCGTTTTTGCCCGTCTGCACTAAAACGCTACCCGGAGTTTTAAAACAAAAAATGGGGTCGACAGCATTTTCAAACTTCTCCATTTTAGGTCTTCGTTTTTGCCGTTTTAGTCTGGACGGGAGGTGCAAACATAGGAAAATGTCTCCAGCAGTGTGGATGGGGCCTGACTAGTTGTAGCTAACATGGCAATGCTAGCATTAGCTAATCAGAAGGAAAAAACAGGAAAAATGAATGGCTGTTTTTTTACTGAAGCATGACTGGTTTGTGGGTCTGAGTTAGGGGTAGGGTTAGGGTCAGTGCACTTTTTACGTGATTGGCAAAAAGAAAACTTGCTTTTCTCATACTGCACGGAAAAGAGAGCATCTAATTATAATGTTTGTGTATATGGTATAGCCTACTTCATATGATCCAGTAAACTGCAATTTAAAATCCTTGTTTTTTTCCAGGTCCTGGGGAGTCACAAAAAAACCGTTCTTCCTGTTATGTGACAGTATAACAGAGGATGTGTGACGGTATAATATTATGTGACGGTGCAGACAGGCTTATTTTCACGTTGAAGCCTCGCGGAAAACTGCTTTTCTATATTTATTCAGGGTGACAAACGAGACCGTGCATGAAAATTCAGTGAGATGCAATAAATAAACAATACAAGTATGACTCATTAAAAGACACGCGACACACTCCAGCATACTATTTCAGCTGAGTCTCTGTGTTGGCACTTAAAACACTGAATACATTCAAGCTTTCCCCCTTCCTGTCTCAGCTGGTCCCCTGGCTCCATCATGACGCTGTCTAGAAGTGACAACTGGCCCACTCTGCTAAGTGCCAACAAAAATGAAAAATAAATGAGATTTTTACACAATACAACATGCATTATTGATGACTATAGCAAGGTCAGTGCATTATCATACACCCGATTATTCTTGCACCTGCACTAAGTCTTCCTGTATCTTATTCCAAAGTTGAACTCAACCGTGGCGGTAATAAAACGACAGCCGTGTGAAATTAATGGGGTATTAATATTGTTGCCTGCCTGCCCGCTAAGCCAAGGTGATGCGCAACCCGTTGGGGGCCTGTAATG